CGGGTTTGTGGACAAAGCGACAACTTTTTGGATTCAATACGAGTCGATTGATTGGCGTTTGGACACCGCTTTGCGTCTCCTATCGTCTAATCGGTGGCCAACAGAGCGCTGGGCTCTCAAACAGTGGGTATACTCCGGAAGCGTTGAACTCGACGGCAGCGCCGAAGAACTGTACGCTTACGGCGATTACAAACGGCGACTGTTGACCAGTTTGTCGACCGAATACGATATGAAAGCCGTCTATCGGTTTGAGTGCCAGTGTTTGAGACAATTGCTTAGCGACGAGTTTGAGATACTTTCGCACCATTTATGTGATTAAATACCGTATAATTAATTGTATTTATAGACAGATTTAGTAATAATTAAACAATAAATTTTAGTTTTGCTTTTATTTGTGAATTTGTTGAATGAATTTAACAATAAATTTATTAAATTTACACGAATAGCAGTGGATTTACGGCAGAAAAATAGTATAAAATGATAGTTTTTACAGTTATATTAAGTAACCGTACAATACAGTCTATTGTCGGTATGATTTACCACACAATCTGTATTATAATACACTAAAAATTCATCTATAGGTACAGTATATACAATGATTAGCGCCGAAAAGCGGTACCATTTGGGAGATAATTGTGCGAAAAAATAAACATTTCAATCAATCAATAATTTGGTGTCAAAATGGGGCCTAAAATTTGCTAATAGTGGCCACAAATGCCATTAATTTCTACGATAACTTGATTTCTACCATCACGTGGTGGTCGTCGTCCATAATTACATCCTCATCGGTGAGCTCTTTCTTATGGACTCTATCCATATGAAAGCGCATCGCCTGTCGATTCTTGTAGCGGCGCTCACAGCCGGGCCACTCGCACCCGTACGGCCGTTCGCCCGTATGCTTGCGTTCGTGTGCTTTCAAATGGTGGGCTTCAGTGAAACTGTTGGCCAGAAATAAACAATTAATAACTCATTAAAACAATCAAATGTCTTGTCTATAGGTTTGGCCGCCATTTATGGCCACCAGACACACCCGACGGGACACATACCTGGACTCGCATCCGTCCCATTCGCACCGGAATGGCTTCTCTCCGGTGTGTTTGCGTTTATG